ACCTTCCTGTACAAAATGCAGTTTCATTTATGGAGTGACTCATTCAGAGCTGCTGCATAGCAATAGTGGAAAGTCAGGGGATGGGAAGCTTTTTTTTTTCTTTTTTTTCCTTTTGTAAATTTTATGTGTATGAGTATTGCCTGCATGTAAGTGCACCCATGTTGTGCAGTGTCCACAAAAGTCAGAAGAGGGTGTCAGATCCCCTGGAGCTGTAAAGTTGTTAGCCACCATGGGGGTGTTGGGCATCCAACCTGGGTCCTCTGCAAGAGCATTCTGTGCTCTTAACCCATGAGCCATCTCTCCAGTCCAATTTAATTTTCAAATTTCTGAAGGCATTCAAGGAAATGCTAACATCTTTTTACTGTTCCATTGCTGCAAACTCTCTTTGCTCAGAGAAGAAAACTTTTAGCAAAAGAATTTCTTAATTAAATATTTCCTGATGCCAGATTACCACTCAGGAAGCAGCGGTGGCTTCCATTAAAGGATGAACTTTACTCCCACAGCTGACAGTTGATTAATGTGTTAATTAGAAACCCTGCCCTTCCCCCAGTTACCCAAATCTTCTCTTAAGTCCTGCAGAATGTATATATTGTGCCCATGTGGGTAACCCAGTGGCATATATACTGTGGCTTTGACTCTGGACGTTTATATAAAAATGAAGGCTCAGTTGCCAACATGAATAGTTTTCTTTCTTTCCAAGGGAAATACAAGAAGGAAAGAGTTATAGGAACCAGAAGTCCTGCCTTTCAGGGTGCTAGTATCAAGAGCAATTGATATTTCTGCTGAGGCAGTGTCTTTTGAGCATTGAGTGGTGTGGGTTCCCACACATTTATTTCATAGGAAAGGAGTGAGGCCGTCAGACCACTGAGCTTATAAGTACTGCCCTGGCAGCCAGCCACCAAAATATAAACACTCCAAATGGACTAAAGGAAATGTTCATTCTCTTGTTTAGAATTGGACCCATCCCAGGAAGGTAAATTTAATCTTTTTGAGGACTGATGTTCTAGGGTTGAAGGGAACACACATTTGTTTATCTCCTTTGTGATCTTTTTGTCCTCCTGGTGATACATTATGTATTTGTGATACGAAGCATTTCAGCTGTCTTGCTCAATGGCATTGCATTTGCTGATTGTTCGGGCCCCAGATTGGCATCATTAAACAGTGATAGCCTCTGTCCAATCTGGGACCTGTTAGGAAGACAAGGGGAACCAGAGAGGCCAGATTCCAACAGAAATAAAGCTGATGTGGAATCAGGGCAATGATTGTGTAGCTCTGGGAGTTGGGCTCTGTACTTCCTAATCTCTATCTTTAAATATCTGAAGGAATTTTGGTACTTCTTGGTATAATGTAGGAAAAAAATGATGTCTCAAAAATTAAAATAACATTTAAAATAAAATTTAAAGTTATTCATAAAGAAGGGACGAATACCCCCAATTGTATTTCTGAATACAATTCAGAAAGCCACAGTTTATTAGACACATACTGTGTATTCTATACATGTGCAAATGTTATTTTATTAAAAATAGACACAATATATATTTTCACATACTACCACATCTTAAGTAATCAGCTCAGGCTCTTATGATAAAATCTTTAATTACTAGAAGTGTGTCATTAGTTAGATGTAGAATGAGTGATGGTGCTGTGTTTTATTACCTCACATGATAAAGCCATTTGCACCATAAATTCATTGACCTCATCTTGAACAATGTGTCCTGTAAGACAGACTTGATTCATTATTTCTTAAGTGACATTTTTTCCCCTTCTAATAATCTTTTGCCTCATCAGAAAGATTGCTTTTCCATAATTTTAGGTCAGTGTTCTGAACTGAAATATAAAGTCTTATTACATTTACACTCACATCACCCCAAAGTGATGCAAGCAGGACGCACTGCTATGAAAGACATGGGGAACCAGCAGAAAATCAAACACTAGCATTAGGCCTTGGCTTTCATGGGAAGGTTTGAGAACATGGGATCTTGCTTCTAACTGTAATGTCTGTGATTTCTTAATATTGAAAGGAACAAAATATGGTGGAGAATTCTCATTTGATAGTTGGGATGGGCCTTTGGGTATTCCTTATTTACCAATTATTATTGAAAGTGAAGGAAATGAAGGGAGAACAGTTAAGCTCTATTTAGATTATTATTTTTTTAACCCACTTGAAAAATATGTATTTAGCTTGAGGAAAGAGGAATCCTCTGGAGGAAAAAAAAATCTGGCAATTTAAAAACCAATTAATGAGGACTGGTTAAGAACACTGACTATTCTTGCAGAAGACCTGGGTTTGAATCCCAGCACCCACATGGCAGCTAACAACTGTCCGTAACTCCTGTTCCAGGGGATCCGAAAGCCTCTTCTGTCCTCTGGTAGGCACTGCATGACATGGGTGCACTTACCTACATGCAGGCAATACACTCATATATATAAAATAAGAATAATAAAACATTAAAAAATTGTTTTAAAAAAAATTCATGATTTCAGAAAACTCTTCCCCTTATGGTTAAAGAACAAGATCCAAAAGAAATATGCCAGAAAATTGGCATGTTATTTTAATTAGTTGAGTTCATTGATGGTAATTTTTCAGTTCATGATTAAAGAAGCTATGTTTTGCTGCTGTTGTTGTTGCTTGAGACAGCATCTCACTATATCCTTCTGGTTAGCCTGGAACTCATTATGTAGATCAGGCTGGCCTTGAACTTAAAGAGAGCTGTCTGCTTCTGCCAAGGACTGAGATTAAGTGTGCACCACTACACCTGGCCCTTAAAGAAACTTTGTTTGATCCCTCCTTCAAACTCATAAATTTAAATTTTAGGCTTTCTATGCATGCCTAATATTAAAACAGAGAGAGGTAGTTTTATTGCATAATGGAATTTAACTTTATTTAAATGGTCAGTTTAAGAAAAAAATATGCATTTTTTTTTTCACTACCAGTTTGTTTAACCTCAACCCAGATGAGAAATTTGAGAATCTGATGGATTCTTCAGGGATCTTCTCATCAGAGGCTGTTTTGCCTCTATCTGTAAACTGGACATCTCATGACAAAAATGCCCTTCTGAATTCAGGAGGGGCCCAAAACACTGTAGTGAAAGATAAGCGAATGTAAGCATTGGGATGATTATTTTTAACCACTTTAATGACTGCAACTGTTTTGATAACTATGCTGAAAGGATGCCCTTCTCATCATCAAAGGTCACTCAGCAGTGTTCTCACTGTCCAAAGATTTTTTTTTTCCAAGAAGTATTTGGAAAGGGCAACTCCATACCAGACCAAACAAAAAACTAATGTGTGCCAAAACATGTATTTTATTCAACCTCACACTATCACGTTTATTACCTATAAATATCAATGGAAAAATAATGTGAGGAGGGAAAGAGTGGATTTACACATCTGCCGTGAGAGTATGCGCCCACAACCACATACTAGCAAGCTACCACTGTTTACAAGCAAGGGAAGCTGAGAGTTAAATGAGATGAGTAATCAGATGCCCAGCATATGTTGTTTTTACATTGTTTATGTGACCAATCATTATTAAAATTTATCATCTTTTAATTATATCAGTTTACGATAGTTAAACACACACACACACACACACACACACACACACACACCAACAGAACAGACACTCTTCAAAAACAAGTTTTTTCAGAACAATATTTGGAACCATTGCTTCATTGGGGGAAAAAACTCAAGTTCAATAAACTCATCATGGCACTGAGTTTCACAATACCCCCGTCTGATGTTGCATGGCTTGAATGCTATGGAAATTACAAAAAGAAAAAATAAGAAAGAAAAAAGACTGTGTGTGTAAGATTCTGTCAAAAAAAGTGAGGCACTGAAAGAACTATTGAAAATTTTGACATCTGTTTATCTGTTTATAGCTATGGCAAGATTACTCATATTAATTCTTGTTTAAAATGCCATATGAAGGAAAGACATTTGTGCAAACAAGAGTCATATTTGAATTGTAGATCATGTCTTCACCATCTGTGAGAGCTGATGGTGTTGCAAAATTAATGTGTTAATGAAATCACAATAATTTCTCCAAAGTAATGGGTTCTGAAGCCGAGAATGACTATTTTTTGAACTTTGATGTCTAGTGATTTCCAATTGGGAAAAGCTCTCAGCCTTTAATTAGTTCTGCAGCCCACCCTTAAAATAAATTTGGTGATGTCTTTTTTTTTTTTTTTTCCAGGAGTAGATTGTGGAGGGGGGAGGGGGAGCCATAGCAACTTTTGGAAAATGTTCTCTGGTGTTTGAAAAGTTGTTAAATAAGACTGCCTGCCAAGAAATGTCACCAAAAATTCTGACTGCTGAGAAAGAGTGGGCAAACAGCTCAAAAAATAATTCTAGCTTGCTGTAACATCACAGGTTGGGAAGAGCTAAACCTCACACAGACTTCATGTCTAATTCCAAGTTTCTCCTTGGAAGCCAGACATAACGATGTTCAGTGCCTTGTGCTATTGGTTAACACAGCATACTCTTTCCAACCATGTTATTGAACATAGTCAATAACTTAGAGTGACTTTGAATGAGGAAAATTTTAAGGGGTTATGTTCCATGTCCATTGAACTCTATGGGGATTCTTTTCCTCCCAAACTATTTAGATGTGTGTTTACAGTGAGCCTCTTTGGGGAAGAGAAAATGTGAAGGCGGGTGTACTGGGCACTGGACTGATTATATATATATATATA